GTTATTTCTTAAAATGGTCATTTCATCTTTTATCTGCTGTATCATTTTATTATATTCCTTAGAAGTTTTGGATTGGGTTTCAACTTTCTCCTGAATCTTGATGATCTTCATTCCTGTCCATATTCTGATTCTATTTCTGTCATTTCAGCTATTCAGACTGGTTAAGAACCATTGCTGGGGAACTAGTGCAGTCATTTGGAGGTAAGAAGACTTCTGGCTTTTTGAGTTGCCAGAGTTCTTGCGCTGGTTCTTTCTCATCTTTGTGGGCTGATGTTCCTTCAGTCTTTGAAGTTGCTATTTTTTAGATGTTTTTTGGTATTTGTTTGCTTTTATTTTCTTTGATGTTGTTTGGTGTTTGATTATGCTATAAGAAGGGTTTGATCGACTGGCTTCATTTCTGGAAGATTTTAGGGAGCCAATGCTCAGCTCAACAGTCCTGAGCTGTGTGCTTTAACTATGGGTGGGGGGTTGGTTTTGGGCTCCCTGCTTTCTTCTCTGTCTCCTCAGGGCTAGGAACATACTGCCCTGAAGGGGCTGAGGTATTCCTGGACCACTGACCACAACACTCTGATGGGCGGTGCCAGCCAAAGAGCTTTGTTGGGTGGAGGAAGTGAGATCCGTGCTCACTTGCACATGCCAGAAACAGCAGCAGTGTGATGAGGTGCATGATCATCAGCTAGATGGAGCACTGGTGGGCCAGGAAGTTCCAGCCTCCGTGCAGGCATTTGCAGGTGGCTGTAGTAGTGGGTGGGGTGGGGTACTGGCAGGTGTGGGGGATGTTGGTCTCCATGTGTGCATTCACGCTGGAGGCAATGGCAGCATAGGGCAGGGAGTGGAGCCACTGGTCTTCGTTTGTGTACTAGCGCTATCAGTGGTGGTATAGTGGGGTGAATGGGGGCAGGCTGCACTCATTCTGGTAGCAGTGGCACAGTGGGTTGTAGATATGTGCCAGCAGGGAAGGGTAGGCAAGGTTTGCTGGCACACACACACTGGCAAAATGATAAGGGGGTGGCCTTGGATGAATGCATGCTGGCAAAGCAGCACAGAAGATGCTGCAGTGGTGGGAGGGTGCAGGTGGGCTGACGCGCCTTGGCAGGGGCCTCTGTGCTGGAGCTCTTTGATTGTCAAGCACAGTCTGCAGGCACAAGAGCTATTATGCATGTCCCTGAGAGACCCCAGTTGGGCAACTATGGCTGTACTGGCTAGCCTGGGGCCCCAGGAGAGGCCAGCAGGCAGGTGTTACTCAGATCAGACTGACCCTGCTCTGTTCAGGTCTGACAGTTCCCCTAAGGGTAAAGTTTCCTAAGGAAGCATGGGAAGCCTTGGGGGATGGAAATTCCCGGTCACGCTCCACTGCAGACGTTGCTGCACCAAACCCTCTGGGCTCCACACTGGCTGGAGGCCTCCCCCTACTACCTCTCTAAGCAACTATCCCTTCCAGCTTAGGTTTCTTAGGTCTCCTGCTGCCAGGATTCTATAAGTCCATGGTGAGAGTAGATCATTCCTTGCCCACTCAACTCACTGCTACCCCAGGAGTCACTGAGGGTCAGGAACTAGTCCTGATGTATGGTAGCCCCATACAGGGTTTCCAGCTTCCTCCCACTTAAGCCCAGCATCTGTAGCCTCCCTCTATCCATTTGCAATGCCTTTTTTTGGGGGGGAAGATCTGCTTAGAGTGTGCCAGTCTTCCTGATGTCCTGGTCCCTTGGTGACAGATAATCCTCCTGGCTATGTCTACTCAGGTATCTTGCCTGGAGAATCCTGTTTGTTTTGATCTTTGGCTTTTGTATTAGAAAGATTGCTTAATTTTCTGATTACTTTTGCCTTTCCATTTATTATTAAGAGTGGGAAACATAAAAGTTGCCTGGAAGTTCTAAGCTCATGCATAAAGCTTATTGACTTCAGGCTGCAATGTGGGGGAACTGAGTGAACTGTTTCTTGGGAATGATGAATCAGTGCTGTCTTTTGACCTATGGGAGAGGTGCTTCAGCTTTAGATGTCCTGGATATGTTTCGTTTCTGGCTGTGCCCTGCTTCATGGGATGATGTGTCTAAAGTGCTAAGGAAAAGCTCCTCACAATTAATAGCTAAGTATTTTTCAGTCAAAGGCAGTTACTCTGACTTTGCTCCTTGAAGAACAAGCAAAGTTGTTGATTTCATACCCATGGTAGAGATTAATGACATGTCTTTGAAAACTTCTTTTTAGCTATTCCTCTTGATTCCATCTCTTGTATATACAATCTCTAATTGTAGTTTAAAATGTCTGTTACCAAGTACACGTAATTTATACTTGGATCAGACTAACTCCAAGCATTGATAATAGAAAGAAATCAGAGGTATTCATGGATTACTAGGCAGCCATAAAAAATGATGAGTTCATGTCCTTTGTAAGGACATGGATGAATCTGAAACCATCATTCTCAGCATACTGACACAAGAACAGAAAATCAAACACCACATGTTTTCACTCATAGGCAGGTGTTGAACAATAAGAACACATGGACACAGGGAGGGGAGCATCACACACTAAGGTCTGGGGGGCCTAGAGGAGAGACAGTGGTGGGTGGGAAGGTTGGGGAGGGATAACATGAGGAAAAATGCCAGATACAGGTGATGGGGGGATGGGGGCAGCAAACCACCCTGCCATGTATGTACCTGTGCAACAATCCTGCATGATCTGCACATGTACCTCAGAACCTAAGGTACAATAAAAAAGAGATTTAAAAATAGAACTATGATATGAAAAAAATATAAGAGGTGTTGATGAGATTCCTGCATAAATATATATAAAATATATATCCTAACTTAAATAAATGGATAAACATTGATTAAAATTGATTTTTCCATTTTTCCACATTTGAAATTAAGAGGAAATATCATTAAGCAAGATTTCAGTGTGGACGCTCATGTTAATTATGGCTGTATTCCATTTACAGATTTATTATCTAGTCAAAATTCTAACTTTTCCTCATCATTCCTCAAATATTACAAATTCTTATTCTGCTCTTATCTTTGTGGATCAATTTATTTCAGTCTTTATAGTAGGTCTAGCTGAAGATGAATTACTCTAATCGCTATTTTTAGGGGATCTCCTTATTGAATTTTCTTCCTCCCATTTCCTGTAAAGATGCATGATTGCCATGCCAAAAACTTTCTTGATACTTCTATCTTTTAAAAGAAGGGGAAAATATTCTCTTAGAATGATTATTACTCTCCCTTATAGTGTTCCTTATCCTCCACTGACTGTCTCTTGCTTACCTTGCTTCTTGTCTACCCTGGAAAGGTGACTTGCACCTGAAAAACTGACTTTCTCTTTTGCATCCAAACAGTTGTTAAGCCCATCTTCTTCCCTCTTTTAATGGCCATTATTAGTTGAATATCTACCATTTCTCTACCAGGCATTGGGGAAATGAAGGTAAACAATCCACACCCACTCACAGGCTTCCATAGTTCCACAAAATAATGGATGCCTTAAAGATGTCTGTATGCAGAACTTCAGAAACATAAAAGAATGGAGTGGTGAGATTGATTAGGTCTCCCTAGCAGAAAGCAATCAAGGAGGTAACAATGAGATACAAACTCTTTCTTTTGCTCTAGACCACCTTTGCTCCTCTAGCTAAAACATCAAGTGAGGAGTCATGTCCTTCAGAGAGCCTAAAATATACCTCCCAGACAAGAATTAGCTCCTCTTTCCTATAGTTTTCAAATGACTAAGTTTATACATTTAATATGGCCTATGTTATACTTTCTATTTTTTTGTTTATATATATGCCTTCTCCGCTCCTTGGAGATTCTTCAAAAAACTTTATACATTTAAAATGTATCTTATTCTGTGTATTATGCTTTTTAAAAGTCCTGTTACTTTGTATTTTCAGACACATTGATTGATGATGACTTTAAATATATCCTCAATGAGTGAATGATTGTATAAAATTCTTGGAAAACAGCACTGTCATATTATTAGCTTGCTAGTTTCCAGTTGGTTAATTCAAAGTTTTGAAAGTCTTACATATAACCATGGATTTAATAGTGTAACTGTACTTTTAAAATGAAGAATTCATAGATACTTTTTTTTTTAAGTTTTGGGAAGAAGACTGTTTTTCAGTATTTCAGGACTCTTGTTATTATGTCTGAAATAGGTTCTATACACTAAAGCCACTCTCTGTGTTTGACACTTTATGAAATACCCTACTTAGGATTTGTATAAAATATAATATTTATAAAAATATAATACATATAAATATTTGTAGAATATTTATTGAAAAGAACAAAATTTCATACCATGATTACCACAGGTGATTACCACAATTTTATAGTTATGTACCTTATAACATATCTTACTTAAGTCTTTTTATTTCCTGAGGTCTGCTATTACCATACTTACACTGGCCATCTTTAAAATTAGTTGGATTTTTAAGCTTTGCCTTTTCAAGAAGGTTTTTTTTAAATTCGTTTCTTTCTAACATTTTATGCCTTTAGTTCTGGTGTTGGCCACCAGGTAGCAACAGTGCCTTGAGTAGCTTGTCTCATGGATAGGAAACTATCGTAGACTGACAAAAAGATGAAGTTCTCTGCATTCAGGAAGGAAAGCAGTAAGTGTCCAGAATCCTCAATTTTTAATTCCTCCCTGGCACCATGTCCTCATGTTGTCTATTGCAAATGCAAGCATAAATTATCAACTGGCCATGAGCAGCCTCCTTGTTCTGCCAATCCATTGTTACTGTGACAGTTCAGTTCATCTCAGGGCCACTGAAATACAGTGAGATGAGGGGCAGATGACAAAGGGCAGCATGGATCATGCTAGGAAAGTGTACGACAACTGCAAGCAAGAAGAGTGAAATCATTAAAAAAGCATAGGGAGAAAGTACGTCCTTTTTATGAACATATCTAGAAAACCCATAATATTTATGAGATTGCTTTTTAACCATGAGAAACACATTTATGCTGATATAGAAAAATCAAATATGTTACTTTAGATTTTTCTTCTTCCTTCACCCTTAGCGATACCTCTGGGTATTCTAGTTGTGCGTGGAGACTGTGATTTGGAGACGTGCCGTATGTACATAGACCGCCTACAGGAGGTGAGTTTGTTTAGTTAATTTCTTATTCTCCTCGACTTTCCATTTTTGTAAACAATTACCAGCCATATGTATTTGCTTCTGAAATGATGCATTTGGTGAGGAAATTGAAATGTGGTGGCTTTGTCCTGTAAGCACACACAGTATATCACCCCCTCCCGCCGTCTCTGCTGTTTCACTCCTCAGATGGTTGAAATGGGAAAGCATCGATTGGGTTAGCTACAGGGTGCTGTTGCCCTGGTATGTTCCGTAACTATAACTTGGAACCTGTCATCTTGCCAGTCTATGTACCTGTATTTTTTGAGCCATTCAGAATTTGAACAGACACTGATAAATAATGAAAGAAAACAGTGATATTTAATGTTTTGTGTCTGACAGTTATGTCAGAGACAGCTAGATTTTGTAAACAACAAAAAAAATAAAACTTCCATGGGAAAGAAAAATCCTCTACATTTCATAGAAATTTGTCAGAACACAGAAGAATAATCTATATATTTTTTTCTCAATCTGGTCTTGCTGTAGAGAAACAGAAAGGCAGTAACCCCACATATGACACTCCCATGAATTTGAACTGCACCAGCAAAGCCAGGAGACCAAACTCATCATTACAATTGTTGTTGGTCGTTTTTGCAAAATTTTGAGGGTGAATAGTAACTGTTTCCACTTCACAAATTGCAAAAAGCACAAATAACGATTTCTTTATCATTGTTTCTTGATGAAAGATGTATATTAGGTCACTTTTCTTGGGTGGGACCTAGACATTTAAAAAAAAAATTTCATTTATTTATTTATTTATTTATTTTGAGACAGAGTCTTGCACTGTTGCCTGGGCTGGAGTGCAGTGGCATGATCTTGGCTCACTGCAACCTCTGCCTCCCAGGTTCAAGCAATTCTCCTGCCTCAGCATCCTGAGTAGCTGGGATTACAGGCTGCCACCACTATACCTGGCTAATTTTTTGTCTTTTTAATAGAGATAGGGTTTCACTATATTGGCCAGGCTGGTCTCAAATGCCTGACCTTGTGAGCTACCCACCTCGGCCTCCCAAAGTGCTAGGATTACAGGCATGAGCCACTGGTGATCTGATACCCCTTGATGAAAGCAACTCTGTCCCAGACAACATGTTATATATAAGTAAATACTATAAATAAAGTAGATACATAGTGTTTAAAGTTCCTCCAAGTTGTAACCACTTAGCCCTTAATATTTGTTTCTGTTTCTCTTGGTAGAGATAAATTCAGGTGGGAGGCACACAAGTGACATGAAAAACTGCTGATTTTGAGGAACAGATGACAAATTTTGAATACTGATATGAGTGAGAGAAAGAGAGTCAACAAATTTTATACTTATGGCTTCATTAAGCTATTTCAACTGAGGATAGCTGCTTAAACAAGTTAAAATGTATGAATTTTTAGCATGTGACTCAGGTCCAATTCTATTAATATATTCCCAAACTTCTAGTATCTCATTTCTCAGAATAATGTTTGTATTTGACTGTGGAATCTCACTCTGGGGACTGTAATGAAACAAGTGAATCATAATTAGTACCAAAACTTTATACCTTTTAAAAAAATTTAATACTTGTAGCTTTGTTCACAATACTTCCCAGTAGAATAATATTAATACATGACTGCTGAATTGACTTTGTTGAAAACCAACTTAACTAACTTAATAGTATGTTTATTGCACCAATATTCAACGAAAAGTAGGATTCTGAAAAAAGGCAACTCAACAAATAAAGAGGAAATGTTTTAAAACTAATCAAGAGTAAGTTGATAAAACCCTGTGGGAATCAGGTGTAAGGACAAAGGTACCAGAATTGCTGACATCTGTAAATAAATCACTACACTCATTAGCAAGGGAGCCTAGAAGACATGACAATGGTGACAACTTCGTTATAAAACTTTATAAAAGGAGTCAGGCTTCCACAATCCTCCGGTAAAACCTCATTAATTTCCACCCTGTTAATTTGCACTTCATGATAATGTGGAAGTGGTTGATGACTTTTTTCTTTGTAGCCGATGAAAACCCCTATTTGCTAAGCAACTTAACGATCTAAACAGTTACCATGACAGTATATATCTGGTCTAAGATAAATAAAAGCTTTCTAAATGTTTAAACGGATTTCAGAAGCCTTCCTCACAAGCCAAAAGTTCATATGCAAATTAAAGATAATCCCCATTTATTAGAACGAAATTGACTATCCTTTACTTTTGGTCTCTTCCATAGGAGATTGAAATAATAATACATCACTTACCTCTAAACACGGCTTAAGATGTATGGGCTTCAATAGCTTAATGACCTTCTCTCCATCCAACTTGGTTTGCTTTTGTTATTGCTGGCATTGCCTTCTTTATTTATTTAGTCTTCATGAATTTGGGTGTGTTAGATACTTTCCAGATGAGAATAATAATATGAAATTGGGAGTTAAGTTGAGATCGAGTTATGGGGCAGCTTGTTCAAACTAATTTTAAGGTATGGGTTTTTTTCTTTTTTTTTTCATTTTCTCATTAGGACCTACAGTCAGTTTCTTCTGGCTCCCAGAGAGTTCATTACCAGGTAACAAATAATTGACTCTCCTTGTTTCTTACCTTCTGGCCAAATGAAGTCCATCTTTCAATTAATGTCTCATTTTGATTTAGAGTTCCCATCTTCCCTAGGGATAGAGTTCATTCTAAGAACCTAGTGGAAATGGTATTCTGATTCGTTTACATATTCCTGATTTTGGACCAGGCTTGTCTAACACAAATTTAGACTGTGGATTTTCTCCTAGATCATTTAGAAAACATTATAAAATTGAGTGCTTTCAGTAACAAATACCAGAAAACTCAGCGGCAGCTAACTTAGCAGGAAAAGGGTCTCTTGGTTCGCATAAGCAAAAAGTCCAGATCAAGGTGGATTTCTCATCCCATTTGGTCACAGCTCACACTCCACTTTCGTGCTGGTACTTCTGCTTTGTTCTCCTCTTCCTGTCCATTTTACCTCTGGGCTAGATGATTTTGTGGTCCAAGATGGCTGCCACTAGCAACCAGGGCTGCATTTTCTTCTCTTCACCTCCAGAAAAGGGAATTCCCTGCTTCCCATAACCATCAAGCAAAAGTTTAAAAATATAATCAGAGTGGTTCATCCTGGTCTTTTAGATGATCTAAAAGCCCAGTTAGCCTTTCTCTGTGGCTCATGTAAACTCCATAGGAGAATACTCAGTTATGCTTCGTCCCAGCAGACTCGGGGGTGCCGTTTCTTTCTAGCTTGCTCATCCCACTTGTGATGCACAGATCTTTTCAGCCATCCTCTTACCCAATAGATGTTTCAGACATGATGTAGATCCCAGTACACAGTATTACTTCAAACTACGAGGAGCCTAAACAAAGCTCTCTGACTGGTCTCATTAAAGCCCTATTATCTGAGAGGCTCCTTACCCTGCCCTGTTGAGAGGAAAGGTATGTGGGAATCACAGCATGCCAACAACTCTCTCCAAATAAGTCCCTTCAAACCCTTTATACTTCCATGTGGGGAGAAATTTAACTATGTCTAAATTTATAAATGTGTAAATCCTGGTTTAGCACTTTACTTTGGATTTTGGTGTCTATCTTCCTATGCCTAAAATATCCAATTTAACATCCTTTAGCCTAAATAGAAAATAATTTAAAGAGCAACCTATACCTTGCAGCCTTCTAGGTAGCTTTCTTCTCCCCACCAATGATACCATGTACCCTTGGCTGAAGTCACTTGGGATATGTTTACATTAACAACAAAACAAAACCAAATGAACTTCTTCTAGACTGTTTTTGCCAACCATTAGAAGACAAATTTCCACCTTATTTTTTAGATAGAGTACAACTCAACTTTGATCAGAGTGACTAGTTCCATATTTACCCAGAGCCATTATCTAGGTATTAATTTTATTTTTAAAAGCGTAATGTTTTCACAATAGCAAAGATATGGAATCAACCCAAATGCCTCTCAATGATAGACAGACAGGATAAAGAAAAATATACACCATGGAGTACGATGCAGCCATAAAAAGGAATATCATGTCCTTTGCACTGACATGGATGGGGCTGGAAGCCATTATCCTCAGCAAACTAATGCAGGAATGGACAACCAAACACCACGTGTTCTCACTTATAAGTGGGAGCTAACAATGAGAACACATGGACACAGAGAGGGGAACAACACACACTGGTGCCTGTCAGTGGGTGGGGCAGGGGGCAGTGGAAGGAGGGAGAGCATTAGGAAAAATAGCTAATACATGGTGGGCTTAATACCTAGGTGATGGGTGATAGGTGCAACAGACCACCATGGCATGCACATTTGTAACAAACCAACACATCTGCATGTACCCAAGAACTTAAAATAAAAAAAAGCATAGGGCTTTTAAAGGTAAGAGCTGATCTCTAGCAATTGGCAGTAGTAGTTATAAGATTGAGTATATATGTTTTTTTAAGAGTTTATATTTTTTATTCTGGGACATTTTTAACCTTTACAATTATATCCAAATATGTTAGATTTATCCTAGCTAGGTTATTGAAACTACCTTTATTTATTATTCCTGGCTTATGCAATGTAGTCATTTTGGTGTGAGAGTTTGAATTGTGGGCATTTTGTACCATATTTTTAATGCCATATCTGTAAATATTCATGGAGACCAATGGATGGATAAGAGGCTACAATATGATTGAGTTATTGATTTCATGTATAGTTTGGTGATAAAAACACTCAGAAAGATTAATGATATTTTTCTGATGATGTCAAAATATTGCTGTATTTTTTTTTCTGTTTACTTACAGTCAAGTCAAATCTTGGTGTCAAAACTGCTGCATTAAAAATGTCACATCAAAAGGTTTTGGGCACTGAGCATCCATCACGGATGAGTGTCAGGAGTGTCACCTTTTCCCATATCCTTCCTTAGGACAGTGAAGGAGGGAGCAGAGTAATAAAAAGCAGATGCCTTTGAGCATTAAGGAATGGTTGAAACAAAAAAGATACAAGAGGCCCGGAATTTGCTCATTAAACAGGAAAGAGAAAGAGACTGTGTTAGAATTAACATGGCCAGAGCACAGGGAGAAGGCAATGAGGAATTTCCTGAGCAGGGCAAGGAGAGCTGATTGAAGCAAGAAGCTGGGAGAGATAAACTTTCATCTTTGACTAAGCTCATCAAAGGAGGCACAGGAAATAGAATTTTGTGTTAACCATATTAATTTGATATGCCTATTAGATCCAAGAGGGTCGGTGAGTAGGCAGTTGGGTAGGTGAATATTAAACCTCGTTAAAAAATTCAGGCCCAGACATAGAAATTTTGGAGCTGTCAGCAAACAGATGGATGATGCTTAAAACTGCAAGGCCAGAGGAGATCTCTTAGGGAGGAGTTCAGTTAAAGAGGAGGGCCCAATGTTGTATCTGTATTTATTATTCATGAGTCAAGAAGAGCACAGGTGCAAGAGAGCACTTGGTCAGGAAGAATCATGGACACTGAGATGAACAGCAGGGAAGCTGGAAATCAAGTAGAAGGTGGTGTTACTTAAGCTAAGAGTGAAATGTATTTCAGAGAAGAAGGAGTAATGGAATGTGTCAAATGCCAGTGAGAGGCTGAAAAGGCATAGATTGATTTCTGTATTTTTTCTAGGGGTGCATATTATAAAACACATGGGATATAGGTGCTATTAATTTTTATGTAGAAAGTGACTAGCAGGAAACTTAATACTAAATCTTTCACTTCTTAGTGCAGAAACTGATTACATCAGAATTCTCTAGTTTGTCCCAGGGGGAGTAGGGAGTTTTATAGGTAAAATAATTCTAAGAAACATGAACAACTAGATGCCTTAAATGCCTTTTAATGAAATTCCTTGTCTATGACATGGCATTAAATATGCTTAGAGAGTTAACTGCGAAGAGAATAAATAAATGCCAGTATGTTTAAAAACTTGAGAAATTCCTGTCAGCTCACTAATTTGCAGCTAGGATTTTAGCTGACTGTTTTCTAAGACCAGAAAAAACTCAAGAGAAAAGCAGCATTTAGAAAGGTGTGCATGTGCCCAAGACGCCTTATTAGTGAGCCATGTGGCAGTTTCTTGCCACTTAAGCATTTCATTGCTTTGGTTTCTTACTTTTCCCAATTCATAGTGAATTGCCAACAAAGCACTGAAGCTCAAAAATGACACCTCATATTAACCTAACAAGGCGTTATGGGTTATACAAGAATGTGTTAGATATTTATAGCTTGTTGAAAATTCCTGCCTACACCATCTCTGAGGTTCAAATACAAAGACCCCCTCCATCCTAATAGCATCAGTGTAGCCATAACTAATACATTTTACAAGTAAAATGCATTGCACATGCAGATTCAGGATATTCTTGAGGTTGGCAAATGAACAAGAATTCACATAAGAATTGGACTGTACTTGCTAATTTGATAAAGATGCTTTATGAGGCCACCGGCTTTGAGGCAGTTCCATCTCTGCTTTCTCCCTTGAAATCATGATATCCCTTCTTAACCCCAAATCACAAAGGTACCAAGGAATAGAGGCATATGCGCCCATTCCAGTGATTTTTGGAGGATTTTGCTCCCCGTGGGGGACATTTGGCAATGTCTGAAGACTTTGAAATATATTGGATAAAGGCCAAGGAGGCTGTTAAATGTCTTGTCATGCACAGAGAAGCCTCCTACCACAAAGGATTATCCAGCCCCAAATGTCAGTATATAAATGAGAACCCCAGATAGGTATGAGACCTAGATGAGAAAAGGGAAAGGAGAAAGAAAGAAGAGGAGCAAAAGAGAAAGTAGGGATGAGAAACAGAAGGAGGCATTTATAGATGTGGTAGAATAAAGAAACAGGAGCAAATAGAGGATTTTTTGTAGACACCCTGGGTTGGTTTTCTCGTTTCCCCAGGGTGAATCTCTGTGGGGCACTAAATGGTAGGAATTATAACTTGAGATGTTAGTGAATACTGTAGGATTCACCTGTAGGTGCAAAAATGGATTCAGTCAAGTGATGCCTTTCTCTAAGAATTAATTTACTTAAAAATGGTACCAGAGACAACATTATTGAAAAGGCTTTTGATTCTTCAGGGTGGTACAAATGTCTTTCATTTTCATAGGAAAATTAAAAAAAAATCTCTTGGTCAGATCAGAGTCTACATCACTTGTTCTTTCTCTGGTCTTTTCTTCCTACATGCCTCCTCTTCCAGAGGACCAGTCTGCGTTGTATTCCATTAAAGTTGTGTCTAGTTCTAGACAAACAGCATTGTCCTACAAATATTTTATTCATTCATTTTCTCTTTATTCTGGCTGCCCTTATTCACCTCTCTCCTTTCTCTGAAATCTCTTTCTCTTCCATTTGTTTTCTGGAGTCTAGAAGAGTCCTTCAATAGATAGAGTGGAACAAGGTTTAGAGAGTTTTTCTGGGAATTGATTTATCTTGTCTTAGAGAAGGACAGGGCCAGCTAGAAAGTTGGAGAATGCAGTTCCTTTGGACTAGACCGAAGCTGTCAGAAATGGGTCAAATGAATTAAATAAGACTTGCTTAGAGTCAGGTCTGTTGTCTGTTATTATTGAAGGC